GTGACTCACTTCTGGGCGCTATCATGCTGTCCATATTTTATAGTTGATAGTTTGAATTAAACAAGGTATAAAGTGTTAGAGAGCTTTAGAGATGCTCCTAGACAGACTTTGTTACCCTTGGATAGAGTCAAGCTAACCAGTTACAGCTGTTTCCAGTCTTTATGCTAAGCTAGGATGATCAGCTGCTGGCTCCAGAGCCACATTTATTGTATATACATATATACTGGTATCAATATTTTGATGTAACATTTGATTTTCTCAAATTTAACAACAAAACTGTTAAATTTGGTAGAGAACACAAAACCTATTGTATTTTATTTATATGTATGAGGACGTGACCTTGGAGTCTTCAGTGATAGCTACAGCTCAGTGCTCAACCTCTAAGATGGCACTGAGACAGATGCAGGTTACTTGCTGATCAATATTATCATTGAATTGGCCTGTAATGAATTCTGACCCAGACAATTTAAGTAACTTTATGCCAGTGGATCTGGAAAAATTGATTCAGGAACCTTCAGAGAATTGGGTGATGTTGGAGCCCAATCACACCTTTAGCAGAGAATGCCTGAGGAGCTGCAGAGGTCTGATATCACTGAGGTCACAAGCTCATAGTCTGCAGGGGAGAGGAGATTGGTAATATTGACTTGAACTGGGAGAGGGTAGATACACACAGCAAAGACTAACAAACAAACATGGGCCAGTAGCATGCAGTTGCCAAGGCTGAACAGAAGGAGCTCTTAACTGCGGAGACTGATCTTTTATCAGGCTGAATCACTAATGCTCTTACACTATTTATTCTCTCTGGCTGTCTTTATCATCTGGATGCAGTGAAAGGTGAGCGGAATGAAATAAGAACAAAGTGGAAAGGAAAGGAGAGATGAGAGCAGATGATGAGAAGTAATTTGAGGTCAGGGGAAGATGGACAGAGTGAGAAGGGGAGTAAGGAAAAGCGATATGAGGGTGATGAAAAGGATAGTTAGGCGAGTCATTATAGACTATGAAAGTGTTTTCACCGTCTTCCTTCTCTATCGTTAAAATGATGTGCAGGCTTGAGCACAGACAGTGACTGGACTGTTGGTTCCCTCACTGGGTTTTATGCTCCAGTGAGCTGACCAGCTTCCAGCCTCCCCTCCAGAAGGAAGCAGAGAAAAGACTTTTTGTCTCCCATGTACTGAATGTGAGAGCGACAAATGTGACCCTCTCCATTTTTCTTCTTCTTTTTAATTTTGCACCCATTTCTTTACAAAAGAACTGCTGTCATCATCCTCCTCTGTTCCTGTTTTCTTGTAATTTTATTGGAAGTTTAAATAAATATTCCCGTCTTGAAAAAAAGTGATTCGTTAAAAAAATCTGATTAGATTTGTGGTGGCCAGTGAAATTATCTCAGTTCTACCTTGAGATGTTTTGCTTTTGCATGTTTATGATTCATTACCCAATTAAGTAATTGAATATTTAAATGACAAAAAACCAGATTGTCATTTGCAGTTTATTGGCTGTAGTAGAGACTGCAGAGAAGAAATGGCTGGGAAAAGGCATGGCTCCGTTAACCGTATGTGTGGCAGCTAATCTGTTAATCAAGCCCGTTCAGTCTCGGCTAACGGGGCTGTTAACAGGATTAGTGCATTGAACGGCGCACACAGAGGACAAAAGCATAGACACTGGAGGCACACAACACCCCACATCACTTGGTACTACGGTAATAAAATCGAGAAGACAGAATGAGTAACTCTCATTGGACGCTATAGCTGCTCATTGACACCACCCAGGCAGAGGGAGGTTCGAAGACAAGTGATATGAAGATTTATCCTACCTTAGCCATCATTTGTTTGCTGTGCTGCACCTGTGCAGGCATAGAAATGCTATCCATGTCTGTTCAGCAATTTCTTCCTTATTTTCAGTTGTCAGTGTGTAAGTGCTGTTCACACTGAACATTTGATGAAGAGCGCAGAGGACTGGACAACAGTGATAGCTGTAGACAGCAGTATGAGCCTAATGTATGATTTTATATGCGATTTATATGAGAAGCAGGCCACGAAGACAGCAACTTCTCCCCTACCCAGTGCAGGAATGCAACTCTAGACATTGAAGATGCCTTAGCAAAATTTCATAATTTAGCAAAAAATGCACGAGTCCCTGCCTAGAGGGAAACCAGCATGGGAATTATAATTCTCAACAAAATACAACCACCACCTCGAACCAACCAATAACTGGTGATCAATGAGAGATTCTTTGACTTTTATTCAGTGGTGTGAGAGCTCAACATTATGATGCTTTTGAGTAGACAGCTTAAACTAATGATTAGTTGTAAGTGAAACATTTTATTTGCTGGTGATTTGTCACATTTTGCATTATTTTCTGCTGCTATACTGTAACTCTGTAAATCTATATTAAAATGATAAAGTTTTACACATTGTCTCTCTTTGAGTTGACTTGTGTCAACTATAAATGAGAGTTAGAAACTATACAAAGGGAGGTTCAAGGTTCAAAGCTGCACATGATATTAACTACATATACTAAAAAACAATTAGTCATGTCAAACTTCCTGAGCTGGCACAGGACGTACATCCTCTGCTGGTCCTGATGTTGGACGTCCACTTCAGGTCCCGGGAGATAGTGGAGCCCAGGAACTTGTAGGACTTTACTGCTGATACAGTGCTGCCAAGTATGGTGGGGGGGGGGGCTCTTCCTGAAGTCCACTGTCATCTCCACTGTTTTGAGTGTGTTCAGCTCCAGGTTGTTGTGACTACACCATAGAAGCACACATCTCTGGGGGGGCACCTGTGCTTATTGTCCGGGTGCTGGATGTGGTTTTCCCCAGCCTCAGCTGCTGCTCCCTGTCTGTCAGAAAGCTAGTAACCCACTGACAGGTGGGGGCAGGCACAGTGAGCTGGTGAGCTTTCAAATATACCACCATAGTGTGAGAGGTTTCTAAGTCCAGGGGTTAATGAACCATGGCCTTCAATTAATGAATTACCAAGATTACATCATTATAGCTCTTTGCATTGATTTGAATAGAGTTTACCTCAAATTAATGCATCATTGGCATGATAGCAGTTTATGGAGACAGAGGACAGGAGTGTTTGCTGCGCTAGCTCAACACTTCTACCCAGTATGTTCAACTGATATTAAATACTTTAAATGCTAATGGGGCAGTGGTACAGTGAAGCATCACAGAGAGCGAGCGTGTTTTAACAGTAGTGGTTAGATTGCATTCTAATTCTCATCCATTCAAGGATAACAGCCACGTGTATATGGATTTTGGCATACAAGTGTGTGTAGGTGACTGCCGCTGCAGCTCTGTGTTGCCATGGTGACAGATGAACTCAACGCTGAGGTTGAGGCTTCAGCTGTTGTTGAATTGTATGCTGTTGCATAAGGCAAAATGTAACACACAGAAATATGCACTGTGCAAGGCATGCGTGTGTGTGTATGTTTCTATGTGTGGACACTACTGACCCTCAGGAGACGGACTAGAGACTTTTCTACATACTGCAATAAAAGTCCATCATTCAGGTTGTGTTGTGTAGTGTGGAGTTCAGTTATCCAATCTGTTTGTTTCTTATACAACCCCAAATCAGAAAAGGTTGGGGCAGTATGTAAAACTGAAAATAGTGATTTGTAAATCATCTGTCCTGTATTACATTGAAAACAATACAGCAGCACATTATTTGATGTGATACCTCATCAACTTTATTCTTTGGTAAAAATAAACACTTCAGTTTTGATGCCTGCAACACATTCCAAAATACATGCAACTCTCTATTTTCAGATTTAATTTTGATTTTACATACATCCCAACTTTTTCTGATTTGGTGTTGTGTAATGGGTCTCATACACTAACCAGCCACTCTGTTAGGTACGTTTGTACAATTGCATGCAATTTCATGCAACACTTCCACCTTAATATTTGTGTTTATGAAGCTCAAAAAATTTCAGTTTTTGGTGAAATTGTCATAAATGTTCAATTCTATGTTTATTATTGAGGTCACAGTTAAAGGTGGTGTTGTACTGGACTACGTTATATTTAGAGGTGCCTCTATATTTTTGTCCTCCCCAGCTACATACAATGAGAGGAGCAGAATATTAGGAACACCTCTGAATATAACGTAGTCCAGTACAACACCGCCTGTGATAATCTGAGTCCAGTCACTGTATTCATATATAACAAGTTGCTGTAGTGAAGTACTGGTAAGAAGGTGCTAGCCTTTTCCTGTCTTATAAAATAGAAAATAGATTTAGACATTCACCAAGCCAATGTGTTTTTTGTCTGTTTAGGTTATGCACACATACAGTGAACCAAAGTATGTGCAACCTACGCAGTTGCTCTTGTTGCTGCTTTGTATTTTCACGTTTCTCTAGCAGATGTAGGCCAGTAATTGGTGTGGTGGATGATGAAGTATGTGTCCATGTATGTTTGAGCTGCACTGACTCAAAGCTGGGAGTATCATTAGACTCACAGCAAGGCCTCACATTGAGGCTAATTACCACCTTTTGCACAGAAGACACCCACAAACACACAACCTCGCACTCTCACATACCTTTACTGGAAGACCTCAAGAGGCAGCCCCATAAAACTAGGCAGCTGTTTGTTGTATACTGTAGTATGCATGCCCTGCAGTAGGCAGCCACGCTCCAGCTTGTCTCTTTTAGAAAACCCAGTGACTGGCACAGTCAGTGGACACCTGGTGACAGAGAAAGAATAAATATTTTTATAGTAGACCAAATGTGTATGTGTGCTCTCGTCTCTGTTTCAGCCTGTGTAATTAATGCCTGGGGGAAAATCAACAGACTATTACAAATTTGCTACAATTTCATATTGTTGAATTGGCTACCAATGAAAAACCTCTCAAGAACACTGTTGGAACTTTTATTAATGCCAGAGTTGTTGACATGTAGACATGTACATTACTTGCTGATAGTTAAATGAGAGGATCAGGACCCTTCTCATAATTGCACCTACAGTGTTTTAACTTTCATGTCTTATATCTGTCTTCACTCAGGTATTGAAGATCAATCTTATCGGACACAGAAAACGGATCTTGGCCTCATTGGGGGATCGGCTACACGAAGATACCCCACAAAAGCCTCCACGGGCCATCTCACTAAGGGTGAGTGAGTCTCAGTGAGCAGACACTGTGTTGTATGAACCATGCTAATTCTCAGTGATATCTAAACCAACATGAATGCACTTTTTAATGAATTCAGTAGACTGAGAAAACACTAGTCCCTCCCCGGAGGTCTGTTTGATTTTCTGAGAGAAATGCAGCCTCCCCCTGCTGCTGTTACCACCCAACTGATTACCCAACATTCTCAGGCAGGAACAAAATGGCTGACCCACTGCAGTTTCCCCTCCGCTGGCTTGTCCTCTAGACCCATCACAACAAACTGTCTTTTCTTCTCCCTGCTTCCTCATTGATCCTGCTCATTTCTGTAAACAAACTGTCTCAACTTGTCCATCTGAGAATCGGAGTTGTGTACAGTAGTAACCCTTAAAATAAGACATATTTGTGACACTATACTAAAATAAAATGCATGCAATTGCATGTGGTATTTACAGTGCACTTTCATTTTTTATGATTGTTTTTATTAGTTCTATTTTGATTAATTTTTGAGTCAACCTACTGTCTCATTACAGCAAATATAAAACATAAAAGCAACAAAGCTTCACATTTGAGATGCAAGCAAATGTTTGACATTCCTGTGAATAAGGGATTCTTTTGGTTGACCAGCCAATTAAATGACAAGTGGTCCCAGCACTAATTTCATGAAATTCTTCAAAAGACGAGTCACTGGTGATTGCAGAACAGCCTGGTTATACTGTGTGCCTCAGGGCAGGGTGTGTTTAAGTGGCCTTTCCTTCTGATGAGCAGAAGGCTGTGCTTGCTACATAATACAGTGCAAACAGTGGCAGACAGCTGAGTGCATCAGGACAAAATGTTTGAATGTGGCTAGAGATGAGAACTGACATACAGGACCCTTCAGCCTCTACAGCCCAGGAAAGAAAACTATCAGAAAAGCCTGTTCTCACATGTAATCAACTGAGACTGAAAAGCCTCTCAGGAGAAATAACTGACCTTCTAATGTGTAAGACTGCTACACCATCAAAACATCTAAAAGTCTTAATTGTTTGGGGAATTTTAGACTCTACTCAACCTGAAAAAACTCTTAATTGAACACCGCTCTAAGGATCTAGCCAGTGTTTTCACTCAATGTGACTTAGCAGAGAGGGCAAGGCTTCAGTGTTATAGACACTATGGACCTGCTGATACATTCTGGTTATTGATCTTTGTCCTCAACTTACTGTACTTACAGAAATTACATAGCACATTATGAAATGATGAATGAAGCCTCTCTTGTTTCCTCCCATCCCTCCAATCTCCTCACCCAACCATCCACTCTACCCCAGGAGCCTGGTGGGAACCACACTCCTCCCCAACTCAGCCCATCTGTGGGCCAGGCAGCGTACACGACAGGGATCCCAGGTGGATCTCTGGACGTGCAGCACCTCATCATGCAGGCGGATGCCCGGCGCAGGCAGCGCAGCAACGACAACTACTTCGATGACGTGCCGCGATCCAAGCTGGAGCGACAGATGGCTCAAGTCAGCATGGTGAGGAAGGGAGGAGAGGATAGAGGGATGAATGGAGGCAGGCAGGGGGGATGGACAATATGAATGGCCATTCAGTCAGACTCTTGACATAACCAACAATAAATTAACCTTTCTAACAGTTATTCTGTGCATTCAGAGCGTAATAAATGCATATTCCTCTGTGCCATAGAGCTCCATTACTGTCCAAAAGCTATTAAACGGGCAGTGAACATGGGCCTTGGAGTACCGTGTGTATTAATCCACCACTGAAAATAGTCTTCAGCAAAGGCTCTTGATTCCTATTTGAGTAATATTCACAAAAGTTACAGTGACCTGCTGTTTTATGAACCCTGTAAAGCTTCTTAATTTTTTGAGCCATTTATTGTACAGTATGCAGGCAGTCATTAGGAATATTTCAGAGCTGTATCCCGTCAGTTTACATCTGAAGCAATAAAACACCAATTCGCTTCCAGGCAGTGTCACATTTCTAATCAGGGCAGTGGAATATATTTTAATCATAAATGAAGAATCTCAGTAATTAAATGCTGGTTTCTAGCAGGCACACGGTGTAAGCAAAAACTGTTTTATCTGTCTGTTTGGTTGCTGAAAATCCTTCGTTAATAATCTGCAGCAGGCAGACCATCTGACACCAGCAGCGATCTTAGCTATTTACAGCCCATCTAAACTGGCTTCAGAAAGTATTCAGACCTCTTCACTTTTTTCACACAATTTTCAACAGAGCTACATTAAATTAAGTCCACACAACAGAATTGAAGGTGCAAAGGTGCTGGGGTCTGAATACTTTCTGAAGCTTCTAAATTTAGCAGGAAATTTCTGCCTGAAATACTATAACATGATAAATATGCAAACCACTATTCAATGCAAGGTATTTTGGCAAGCTTACAAATCCAGTCAGGCATAATCTAACTTTAAGAAATGGATGTCGATCTCCAACACAGGGTGTTCATTGTAGAAAAGCAGCCTTTTCCACTTCTTTATCAAAAGATGGGTTATTTTATAGTTTTGCATAAACAAGACATACTTTTCCAAATAAGCAGCTCATCTTTCCAGCCAGTTTTATTATCATCCAAATGCAAAATTAGAACTTTGACTTCTAATCAACAGCAGCACAAATGACTCAGACACACACTGACACTACCCATCTGAGACAGCAGCTGTGTTTTGATACTGTATGATTAAGGTCTTTTTGTGTCTCTGTGTGAATTACAGAGCTTATCAGTGCAGACTAAAATACACTGAGGGTAAGCCTGCTGAATCTGGGAGTGTGTG